CAACCAACGCTTCCCGACTGCCCCTCACCTAGCGCGAGCCCCCTCGACTCCTCGGCCACGCCCCCTACACCTCGCTCCCGGCCGGCCTCGGCCCCTGACCGCGCCTGCGCAGAGGGGGCCCGAAGGCGGGAGGCTCAAAAGCCGGGTTTCACCCCGGGAGAGGGAAAGAGGTGCACGCAGGCGCAGTAGTGTCTAAAGCCGGGTCAATTACGACGTTAGATATCTCCGCGCCCTAGCGGCTCCTCCCAACTCTGGGAACCGGGAAAACTTGTGAACCAATAAGAAAAGGTGGAAGGCGGGACATGGCGGACACTGTCAGCTCCCGACCAATAGAACAGAGGCGGCCCTAGGAGCTGGCCAATCAGGAACGGCACGGAGGCGGGCTCGCTGGCGCGAAGTGCGGACCCGGGAATTGCGAAGGCGGGGTCGGCGCTGCCCGCGCGCGGAGACCGCGCCCCTCCTGCGCCGCTTTCCCGCTGTCAAACTGCCGCGGAGCCCCTGCCGGGCCGGAGCCCGGCGTCCCGGACGCCGCACAGGCTGGCGCTGCCGAGAGAGGCCACCCCGAGGCTGCACCGCGCGGTAGGTCCGAAACTGGGTTGGGTTGGGCAGGGAGAAGTCTGGGTTTGCCTTACATGGTCTCGGGGAGCTGTTTCTGTCCCACCCGGAGAAGCCGGGTTGCTGGGGTTTAGATCCAGTTTCTTGGAGGACGTAGGGACCCGTTTGCCTGCATTTTGGGAGGTGACAGTGGAGTCACTTCCCACTGGGGTTCAAGCTAACTGGTATGAGGGGTTGGCTAGAAGAGCGAGGTGCGGGTGAGCAGCAGGCCTGACAGGAAAAAGCTTATTTTCTCCAAGTTTTATTGAGGTGACGTTAGTATTGCACAGAACTAGGAGCCCACTATACACAACTAGTTTGCAGGTCGCCAGAAGCTGCCTAATGGTATGTTGCCTGGAACAGATTGAAGGCTCCTGGAAATTGTGCGGCCTGAGGATCCGGTTCGTCCAAAGCGCCATAGGACGAGTTCGTGTTTGCACTGCGCCGACCTTCCCGAATTTCTCCCCTTTGGAGCCGCTGACAGCCATTTTGCATCGTGTGCCTCGGATCCTTGCACTCCGAATTTGCGCTGCCCAGGGACTGCGCTCAAAGTTGAAATTGCACAAAGCATAGCTCAAGTTTGCACCGGACGGAGTGAACTGAGGCCGTCCTGCTGGCTCGGGAGGGGGGACGGTGATGGATCCCTGAAGTGGAAGAGGGTGTGGAGCGGGCACCGCCCATGCTGCCCTGCTTCCAGCTGCTGCGCATCGGGGACGGCGGGGACAGTGACCTCTACACTTTCCACCCTCCAAGCGGGACTGGCTGCACCTATCGTTTGGGCCGCAGGGCCGACCTGTGTGATGTGGCCCTGCGGCCCCAACAGGAGCCTGGCGTCATCTCCGGAGTCCATGCGGAGTTGCACGCTGAGCGCCAGGGTGATGACTGGAGGGTCAGCCTGGAGGACCATAGCAGCCAAGGTGAGCAGTGATGGGGCTGGCATGATTAAGGGACTCACAAGGACCCTGCCTGCCTGCCTGTCAGGTTGGATGGACAGGTGCCCCCGGTCTTTCCGCCAGCTCTCTGCAGCTCTCTGTTGATCTCCATTTAGCTCAGACAGAGGCTGGGAAGTGGTTCAAGAGCCTGGGGAAGCATGAGGAAAATATAAGTGGGGGGTCTTCTGAGGCCAGTGGGGGCCCCAAGCTCAGACTTGACTCAGTTTCCAGGCTTGCTGAGGCATCTTGTTCCTGTCTTAGAGCAGTTAGGGTATGTTGAGTTGTTTTAATGATATGGGTATGTCTTACTCCCTGATGTGGAGGTGGTCACAGCCAGTGTCAGGCCTGTCACTTCACTTCTCTGGGTCTTAGTTTCCTTAGGTAAAAGGGAAGACTTTGTAAGGTCTGTTTGGTGTGTGTAGGAATTAGATAACTAGAGTAGCCAGTATTCATTTAGTGCTTACTCTTGTGCTAGGCACTGTTTTAAATGCATTGAATGTAGGTGAGCATTAACATTCCCATTTTACAGAACAAGTAAAATGAGGCACAAAGAGTTTAATTTGTTCAAGGTGACAGAGCTGGTAAGTGGTGGAGTAAGGATTGGAACCCAGAGTCTGAGCTACGCTGAGTTGGAGCTGGATGAGGGTGAGCATGTCTGAGAACTGGACATCAGTAGGGTGAGGAAGGAGCCTGCTCTCTCCATATGTTCTGTGGGAAGGTATAAGGAACAAACTTGTTCCCAGCTCAGGAACAGCTTAGTATCTGATGTCACCTGCTGAGGGACTTAGAATGTGAGAATTGGATGACAGGTGTCATGATCTTTCTCATGTTCCCCATAAAATGAGATAGGGCCAAATTTCTCCACTCCTAACTGGTCATTTGCTTTTGTCATTCCATGTATCTGTCTGGTGCTCCATCAACAGGGACTTTGGTCAACAATGTCCGACTCCCAAGGGGTCACAGGCTGGAGTTGAGCGATGGTGACCTTCTGACCTTTGGACCTGAAGGGCCCCCAGGAACCAGCCCCTCGGAGTTCTACTTCATGTTTCAGCAAGTCCGAGTCAAACCTCAAGATTTTGCTGCCATTACCATCCCACGATCTAGGGTAGAAGAGGGAACCGGGGTTGGTTTTCTGCCCATGCTGCCTCCCCAGGGGGCTCCTCAGCGCCCCCTCAACACCCTGTCCCCTGCACCAAAAGCCACACTGATCCTCAACTCCATCGGCAGCCTCAGCAAGCTCCAGCCCCAGCCCCTTACCTTCTCCAGGAGTAGGGGTGAGCCACAGAGCCTTCCTCCTCGCATTCCCCACGGGGAAGGGGGGACTACCCCTTCTGCCCCAACCCCCAGAAATCGGAGGAAATCAGCTCACCGAGTGTTGGCAGAATTGGATGATGAGAGAGAGGCTCCTGAGAGCCTCCGAGTCCTTAGAGAGCCCAGGAAGAAACTCTGTGTAGAGAAGACCCCACTGACACCCAGTGGGTAAGTGGAGGGATCATTGTCTTAGTATTTCACTGCCTTCTGATTCCTTTTTAGAGCCTCGGGTTGGGAACCCCGTGCTGGGAATGGGCTGGGCAGTGGACAGAGAACAGAAGCTGGAGTAGCAAGACTTGGGTTAACTCTACTAACCAGGTTCACGCTAGTCTAGTAAGTCTGTCTGGGCTCACTGTTAGCATCCAGGGAAAAGTTCTAGGCTTCTCCTACAGGTTTTCAGTGACCCTGGTTTTTGTCACTTTCTTCAGCAACCGACTTGGGCATCCTCCCAAGCACCCAGTGAGCACCCACATGACTCCCCCTGTAGTTGGGGGCGGAGAGCCCTGTGCAGCCCTTGTTGCTGCCTGCCCCAAGAAGAGACAGTGGCCTGGGTTCAGTGTGATGGATGTGACCTCTGGTTCCATGTGGCCTGTGTTGGCTGCAGCATCCAGGCTGCCAGGGAGGCTGACTTCCGGTGCCCAGGGTGTCACATGGGCGTCCAGACCTAACGCCCACCACCAAGGGGCCAGAGGATAGAGCTGGTACCTCCTGGCCATGGGTGGACACAGTAGAACACCAGTGGGTCCTAAGAAATGCCTCTTCTTCCCTTGCCTCCCCAGGAGGGAATGACTACTGTGCAGGGGTCCAATGCTATGGATTCAAGGTTTGGAACAGGCCCTCATGGCCAAGGTGACAGAAGAGATGGTTTCCTGCCAAAGATAATGCTGCCTTCAGGAAGTTGCTAGTGAGCTGAAAATTCCGTTACAAGTCATAGATCCTTATTGTCAGGGACACTAGAATGTCGGATCAGAGCACTCATCAACTGCAGAGACCATCCATGCCTGGAAGATGTAAGTCCCAGACCTGAACAAGTGAGTTCTCAACTTGGATGGCACCCCCTCAGGCATTCTGGGAAGACCTAGGACACAGCCCCCAAACTCTAATCCTATCGCTTATCATGTTTGTGGCCTGGCTTTTCAGGTTTCCTTCCATTTCCAAATAAAGAATGAGAACATTCGCCCTAGCCGGTTTGGCTCAGTGGTTAGTGTTGGCCCGCGGACTGAGAGGTCCCTGGTTAGATTCCAGCCAAGGGCACACACCTCAGTTGCAGGCTTGATCCCCGGCTCTGGTCAGGGCGCGTACAGGAGGCAACCAATTGATATATCTCTCACATCAATGTTTCTCTCTCCCCTCCACTCTGTCTGAAAAGCAATGGAAAAAATATCCTCAGGTGAGGGGAAAAAAAAGAATGAGAACACTCATTTACTGCTAGGTAGTTCTTCCTTTGTGGGTCATACTCCTTGCTTTCCCATTCTTGGGGGAATAGACTTGGAAAGGTCTGGAAAATGTCAATTCTTAGGGGAAGGGGAGACGAGCAGAAAAGGTAGAGAAATACAAAGCTGCTCTCTGAAAAAGTGCAAATATATGGGATGAGGTGGGAGCTGGGAAAAAGAAACACTCAGGAAACAGGGTCCTGGTTTAAAAGAAAACATCCATTGCCCTTAAAAATGGGTAGCTGGGGTTGGTCAGTTTCATGTAGATGGCAGAACTTCTCCGAGTTTCCCCAGTACAGGCCTACCTCAGATATTGTGAGTTCGGTTGAAGGCCAGCCACCATAATAAAGTGAGTTGTAATCTTTTTACTGGTGGAGGGTCTTGCCTTTAATTTGAAAAATACACCTGTGAAGTGCAATAAAACAAGGTATGCCTGTACGCCAGGGAAGAGAAAGCCTGGTAAACCAGCTAGAGCAGAGGCTGGCCTGGTCCTGTGTAGCGCAGCCCACGTGTGGCACATTGGTTTTCTGCTGTGAGCCTCACACCCAGCCAAGACCCCGTCAAAGCAGCGTTTCCAGTTCTTGCCAGGAAAGCCTTATCTTGACACACATCTACCCCCTCTTTCTACTCCTACCTCAGCTCACCAACCCGTTTTTTTCCAGAGGAAAGAGTTGCAGAGCAAAGACCCTTATGTGGTAGTGGTAGAGCCAGGACTAAAGCGTTAGGGGTCTGCTGAGTCACTCAAGGATAGGGCAGGCGAAAACCCTGAAGGGAAACCAAACAGACCCTGGCATTAAGAAAGCACAAGATTGAGTTTCTAGCTGGGGTTCTATGCAAAAGAAGTAAGTCTTGAAAGACTTGATTTCTTAGCATAACACTGAGGACTCCCAAAAGTAGAATGGAGGAAGCAAAAAGCCCACTCCTAATAGGGAATGGGCTACAATTAACCACATCTGTGGGCAAAAATAAGACGTTTAACTCAAAGTCCTTGGGAACCCGTGCCACCAGCTCCAAAGAACTAGCTCATGCTTCCAAAGGCCTCTACAAATGAAGTTGGGTTTCAGGCCCAGCTCTCCCTGCCACTGTGACTCTTGAGTGGCTTCGGCACTTTGGTTTTGGGGTGACTTGGGTGTGACAGCTGTTAGTATTCACTGTTCGGCGCCCCTCCCACCATGTCAGTAGCTGGAGGAGGAGGAACCAACAACAAAAGTATCCGTCTGCTGTGTCCCAGGTTTCTTTATTTAAGATCAAAGTGAGAGGTGATGTGGGGATTAAAATCAAGAGCATCATTGAACTCCACCTTCCCTCCAACCAGTTCCCCAAATTCCTACCCCCATGCCATTTGTGCTCCCAATTCTGTAGAGAAGGAAGAACTTAATCCCAAAGCCCTGGGACAATTCTCGGGCTCTTTCCCTCACTCTCCCTGTCCTGGGAAGGCAGGCAGCTCAGTTTGAATGCATGGGAGAGCCCAGAGAGGTGACAGACACAGAGGGAAAGGCTTCACCCTCAGGGAAAGGGACCGAGGAGTACAGTGTAGTGAAGTGAGGGCCCGCATAGCCTGGGCTACCAAAATGGGGCCCTGGTGCCAGAGGAAAGGATACTGGTCCCCCTGAGAAAGGAGGCCCAGAAGCCTCAAAATCCTCCCGTTGAGAATAGTCACTGCTCGATCGTTTGCCCTTCTGGCGACGGTTGCAGAACCACACTCGGACCACCTGGGGACGGGGGACAAGGGAGAGTGACTCGCTCATAAACTCCAGCTGGATCATTTGGCCCAAGACCAACAGATCCAGAGAGGTTGGAGGGCAGGCACCAGAGCTCAGGCTGTGGGGTGGGGACAGGAGGACATGGGCACTCGGGGATGGGCACTCACGTCCTTCTCCAGCCCAAGCTGCTGAGCGATGTGGCTGATCTGCTGCAGGGTGGGCTTCGGGCACTGCAGGAACATGTTCTCCAGGTTGCCCCTCACTCGGTTCTCGATACTTGTTCGCTTTCTCTTTCGGGCCTGCACAAGGGTCTCTGCTTTGCATATCTGGGCAGGTGGGGAGGGGGTGATAAGAAGATGGGAGGGCAAGCTATGAACCTACTGAGCAACAGCACCAGGACAGTGACTCGAGCAAATTGCTCAGAGGCATTGGCTGGATGTGTACCAGAGCTGGGCAGTATGAGGACAAAGGATCCTGCAAGGGCAGGTTTAGACCAGCAGCTGCACCTTGTCCCAGCAGCACTGAGGAATCACCCTCCGCCCACGGAGGGCTACTGCCCCCAAGAAGCAGAGCTGCCAGCCAGAGATGGAAGCAATGGACGTGGGGCCGAGTCACAGCAGGTCTCTGTGCACCCCACCCACCCTCACCTCCTGCAGGTTCTCGTTGTTGTCAGCTTCCTCCACCCACTTCTGCAGCAGGGGCCGCAGCTTACACATGTTCTTCAGGCTGAGCTGCAGAGCCTCAAAGCGGCAGATGGTCGTTTGGCTAAACACCTTCCCTGGGGAGGTGGGTTGAAGGAGAAGCAAGGTGAGGCAGCAGGCAGGGCCCTCCTGACTCAAGACCCCTGTGTCACCACCTCTCCCTGCCCTAACAAGGTCCCACAACACCAGGATCCTACTTCTTCCTAGAGGGAGCTCAAGGCCCATGTATCTTTCCCCTCCCTCTGTACCCTCTTCATGGGTGAGGGTGGAGCCTGCCCCTGGAACACCAGCCCTCACTCCCTTGATAACAAAGGCCCAAGTTCAGGACTGTTCCTTCCAGGGGAGGTGTCCCTGTGTTCTATAGGTCAGAATATGCTGAGGGGGACCCACCAAAGAGAACGCCCAGGGTGAGCCCCACATCGGCCTGGGTATATCCCAGGGTGATCCTCTTCTGCTTCAGGAGCTTGGCGAATTGCTCGAGGTCTTTCTGCAGAGCTCTCATGTTCTGCGACGGCATTTAAAAAGGCAGATGATGTGTAAGAACACAAACACGCCACCTGTCAACCCCCCTGCCATCTGGGCCCCAAGGAGTGGTCCGTGGGAGTATCTCTGTGCCCAGGCTGCCCAAAGAACACCTGAAACAACCTATCTACAAACATCATTCACCCCAGAAAGCAACACGTCCGTAGCTGCAGAGCAACGCACAATGGAAAGAACATCCATCAGGTGAGGAAGGGAGCGCCTACTGATCAGCTTATATAATACAAAAGCCTTCTGACTGAAGTAAAGCCCTAGAGAAAGCAAGAGCACCATCTCTCTGATTCTCGTTTCAATATACTCAATCTCCCAGTTTGCTTGTGGGGCCCCAAATTGTGACTTAGCATGCACACACACAAACACACTACAAAAAGTTACAGGTGTCGGAAGAGGTATGAACAAAGTGCTTTGTGTATAGTTGGTGCTCAATTATTTTAAAAGCTGATTATCCTTTTTTTAAAATTTTTTTAAAGATATCTTTACTGATTTCAGAGAGAGGAAGGGAGCGGGAGAGAGATAGAAACATAAATGATGAGTCATTGATCGGCTGCCTCCTGCACATCCCCTGCTGGGTATCAAGCCCACAACCCGGGCATGTGCCCCGACCAGGAATCGAACCAGGATCTCCTGGATCCTAGGTGGATGCTTGGCCACTGAGCCACACCAGCCAGACTGATTATCCCTTTTTAAAAACTGATTTGAGAGAGAGAGAGGGATAGGGAAGGGAGGGGGGACCTGACATCAATCAGTTGCCTCCTGGACGAGCTCCTACCAGGGACTGAACCTCCAACCTGGGTAGGTGGTAACTGAACTCCCAACCAACTGAGCCACACCAGCCAGAGTGATTATCCCTTGTTTTTGTCATATCTTTTTTGTGATATGGAAGCATCCTCAATGATTAATTCAACAGATTTATTCTACACCTTCTACAAGCCAGTGGCTACACAAAGTAGACAAAAAGCCCTGGTGTCATGGAGCTCCCATTCTAATGTGGAGACAAGTAACTATTATCCAGTATGTTAGAAGCACCATGGGAAAAGTGAAACAGGGTAGAGGATTACAAAGTGCAGCAAGGGAGGACACTTTTAAAGAAGATGGAGGTGGTCCATTTGAGCAAAGGGAAAGAGCCAAGTGGAAACATCCTGAGGTGGCAGGTGAGGTGGGCAGGGGCAGGCAAGGTGGCAGGGAGGGCATGGCTGGAGCTGGGTGAGTGAGCTGAGGAAAGGGAAGGGGGAGGAAGCTATGAAATCAGAGGGGCAAGCAGGGCAGATCCTGCAGATGCTGCAGTGAGTTGACATGATCCAACGCTCACATTTTAAGGCGTTCACTCTAGTTGAGGTGGTGACAAGAGACTAAGGAGGAAGTGAGGGAGTAACTAAGGAGGCAACTGCAGTT